TCAGTAGTTAATTAGAGCAAGTGGGCCTGTACCCTCAAAAGTATCAGTAGAATAAACAGAATTAAAATAACATGATTAACAGACTTGACCTAATGAATGCACATAGAAAATGTACCAACAACTGTAGAATATAGATTCTTTTCAAGCACAGAGAGAATATTTACAAGATTTGATAATGCTGGCCATAAAAGAAGCCTCAACAAACTTCAAGTTATTGAATAAAAAGTACTAGTTTCTCTGACTGCAATGCAATTAAACTAGAAATCAATAACAAAGTTACTTTTAAAAACTTCATATGTTTGGTAATTATAATTGAAATTAGAAAATATCTAGAACTGAATTATAATGAAAATATGTATAAGCTATTTTTATGAATATAGTTTTATTATAATGGAAGAATACAAGTTAGAACCGGCCGAACAAGAGACATATATATGGCAGAATCTAGAACTGGGAGGCTTACACAGTAGCAAAATAAGTAGAACTTACACTTGCCCTCCACAGTTTGTGGAGCCAATTTCAGGTACTTTTGATACATTTTAATCCATTTCTTAGTTTTATCTGGCTTTCCTCAAAGGATTTTGGAGCATCTATACTTCTAACATGCTGTTTATACTCCCTATGCTAAAGTGGTGGTGTAGAAAGTCTTAGAAGGGGCGGTGCGTCTTCCACATCCTTCCATCTTCTCTCCATCTTCCTTTTCTGAGACTTCCTCTAACCCAGTGACCTCCCTTATTCCCCATGTACTTTTGTCACTGTCTGCCCAGGGTCCTCCATTCATGCTTTTCACTCTTAATCCTCACTTGCTAAGAGCATCATTCAAAATTTACCGAATTTCTATTCTTACTCTGCTCTCAGCTAGCTATCTGCAAGAAAAAGCAATACAGTAAATTCTTAATGCTAGGGTATTATGTCTAATATTGATTCAGTGTTATCCCTCCCAAATATATTTGATTTTTAATAGCTTTTTAAAAAAATATTTATTTATTTAGTTGGCTGTACCGGGTCTTAGTTGCAGCACTCAGGATCTTCATTGCTGCGTGTGAGATCTTCGCTGCTGCGTACCGGAGCTTTTAGTTGCCAAGTGCGGGATCTTTATTTGTAGCATTCAGGATCTAGTTCCCTGACCAGGGATCAAACCCAGGCCCCCTGCATTGGGAGTACCGAGTCTTAACCACTGGACCACCAGGGAAGTCCCCCAAGTATATTTGATTTTGAAAAGAAATTCCTATAAAGTCCATGAAGATGATTCTCTTATTGCAGAATTTCAGGCCAGAGTGAAAGATATATTTGACAGAGGTCCTGATGAGGGAGTGAGCCATGAGCCATGGGGATAAATTTAGGAAAGGGTGTTCCAGGCAGAAGAAACAGCAAACGCAAAAACCCTGAGGCTGATATGTGCTTTGTATATTCAAGAAACAGTGAAAAAGCCAGTATGACTGGAGCAAGGGAGGCAGCAACAGGAGATGAGGTCAAAGAGGTAGCTGGATTCCTCTGACTGCTTTGTTCAGAGTCAGCCTAAGGGGGGCAAGGTAGAAACAGGAAGACCACTTAGGCAGCTCTCAACATAATCTAAGCAAGAGACAATAGTGACTTGGAGCATCAGTGGAGACTGGGAGAAATCAGATTTTGAATAAATTTTGAAGGTAGAGTCAAAAGGATTTGTTGACAGTTTAGACACAGAGTGAGAAAAATCTCAACGACACGCCATGGTTTCTGAGCAACTGCAATGATGGGGAAGACTGGAAGGAACAGACCTGGAGGGAAAGATCAGGAGCTGTTTTGTAGATAAATAGTTTGAGAAGCCTATTGGGAAACCATGTGGAGATGTCAAGTAAGCAGTATGTTATGAGTATACAGTCTGGAAAAGAAGCCTGGCCTAGAGATACAAATTTGAAAACCATCAACAAATGAATGATTATTGAAAACCATGAGACTGGATGAGATCATCAAGGACGTGAGCGTAGATAAAAAGGACAAGAGGTCAAAGGAGTGGTTCTGAGGCAGCAGAAAAGGAGACCGAGAAGGAGAAATAAATGAGGTAGGAAGAAAACTACCAGGAACTAGGAAGCAGGACAGTGTAGTGTCCCAAAAGCAAAGAAAGCCCTTCAAGGTGAGATCAACTGTGTCAAATACTGCTGCCAAGTAAGATGAAAATGGGATTGGGCTGTTGAACTTAGCCATGTGGAAGGCATGGGCAACCTTGATCAGAGCAGTTTCATTGGGTTCATGGAGTTCTTACCAAGACAGTAGATTTTTCTTGAATGAAGGTCTCATCATTCCCTATATGCCTTTAGGATAATTTCCAGTTTGTTTTTTTAAAAATAATTTTCGCCATTCATGGTTATTTCCCTGGAGAGAGCTTATGCAAAGCTCTGCACACTGCTGTTGCAGAAGTGACCCCTTTCTCCTTCCCTTTTAGGAAAAACTTCTCAAGAGTTGTCAGTGTTCAATTCCTGACTGCTTTCCCCTACCCCAAATTCTTTCCTGGACCAATCCAATCAGGCTTTGTGAGCCGTCTCCTGCT